CCCCAAAACCCCAAAACCCCAAAACCCCAAAACCCCAAAACCCCAGGCTAAAAATTATTTAATATAAATGAGTGTAGCACCCCTGCCAAGGAAGAAGGAATATACTTTTCTAAAGAGTTACCTTTCTGGGGGTCTTTCAGGTATATTTTATAAGACTGCAACAGCTCCAATAGGTAAGCCCTCCTGCTCTGTTGTCTGAATTTTATGAGAAAAGATTATAAAGAAGAGAATACATGGTTTGATTATTATGAATATATCCCTGAAGAGAGCTTTGGTTACTGAAATAATCCCTGTATTTAGAAAGAGTAGTCCTCTTACTCCAGAACCAAGATTCATCAATGCAGATCACAAAGGAAAACAGATATCGGAATGTTAGAGATTGTTTGAGAAGAGTAGTCAAAGAGCAAGGCTTTTTTTCACTTTGGAGAGGATACTTTGTCACTATCTTTCGGTATTTTAATTACCAATCGTTCATTTTTGCAATGAATAATCAGTATCAGAAGCTCAACAAGTTTGATAAGGGGGAAGATCCAGTAAAATTTGCAACAGCAAATATCCTTGCAGGATCTGCAGCAGGCATGACCAGCTGTTTGGTCTTCTACCCACTCGATTTTTCACGAACTAGACTAGCAGTTGACATTGGGAGAAATCAGCAAGAAAGGCAGTTCAAGAATATTTTTGATGTTGGATCTAAAATCATGAGAAGTGATGGGATTACTGGCTTTTATAGAGGCCTAAGCATCACACTTCTCCTCACAGTACTGTATAGAGGTAGTTATTTCGGGCTCTATAATACTGGAAAAGTTTATTTATTCAAGGATCAGCCTAAACAAGATTTTTTCTTTCTCTGGTGATTTGGTACGTTCACCACATGCTTTTCAAATTTTATCTTTTACCCTCTTGACACAGTGAGGAAGAGACTCCAAATGCAATCTGGAAGAGAGAATATCCAATATACCTCCCCAGCAGACTGCTTTAGGAAGATCTACATAAAAGAGGGGATCAGAGGCTTCTTCAAAGGTGTAGTTCCAAATGTTGTAAGAGGATTCGGAGGAGCCTTACTGCTAGTACTTAACGATAAAATTAAAAATGTACTTCAATAGTCTTCTTTCGGATTGGGGTTTTGGGGTTTTGGGGTTTTGGGGTTTTGGGGTTTTGGGG